GAAAGAGTTTTCTGCTGACATGTCATAGCGTATTGAATCAACATAAAACCTCTTCCCTGAATGAGCAGCAGTTACAATTTTCCCTACCAGATCCTCTGCATTAGTACAGGTATCTGCCATCATCAATTTTCCATTGGTAGTCATATTGATGTGCTTTTGTGTTTGCTCGGCATCTCTGTGCGGAACCAATCCTGAAGCTTTCACCACATCAAACTGGGCCACAGCTCCTCTGATTCCATAGGTAGGATGCGATTTTTGTCCAAAAGCCATGCCATGACGCAATTTCCCAAATCCATATTCCCTTCTGTCTCCACCTAATGTTCTCTCATTAGTACCAAGGTAAACATCTGGTCGAGCTTTCTGGAGGGGATTCTTCCATGCATCAGCTCCAATTATTGTCTCAACCAGATGCCAGTCAATTTGGTTCATAGGATCTACAGACTTATCGCTAACCATTGGGACAAACAAATATGCTTTTGCAGGATCCCAAGGAGTGGTAGATGGTTCAACATCCACATCCAAGACAATGCTCATTAATCTTACATGAAAGCTTTTCAGGGATGCCAGCTGCATGTCATTAAAAAATAGGTTTTACCCAGAGATATCAGAAGCTAATTTTTAAAAAATATATGAACATTTAAAACTGGTATGGACAATGGTTAATCTGTCGACCTGACTCTCAGTGATATTTATTGGCCCTCTTAAGACAAGAGATGCCTTTGTAGTCACGGTTCGAGCGATAAATAGATCCATTGACATCGATAACACCTATAAAATGGATACAATTAGAGAGGAAGTGAATGAGTTAATAATACCAAAAAATGAACTAGAAGCAGTAGAAAAAATAGGATTACCTCTGCATCCAGCTCATTGCCAAAAAGTACTGCAAAATTTGAAACTTGAGTCAAGAACGGATCCTTTGAATGGCCTATATTTTCGCACTTCACAGCATACATGTAAAGATGAAGCAATTTGGAGTTGTTGCAAGCATCTTTTCCAGAGAGGATCCATTCTCCCTGAAAGTCCAGATAGCATTAAGCACTAATGAGGGCAAGGCAAACCAACTTCAGAATTCTCATGCCAAAAACAGAAAGGTAAGAACAAAACCCTTCCTGTCACTAAAGATTAATAAAGATGGCTTAGAGCAGATAACTTGCAGAAAGAACCAACCTTCAGTATGTCAGCCACACCTTCAGGATAGAACTCCCTATGTCTGGCAGTCCCTGGAAGTGGATCTCCTTCATCAATTTGTTCATCCTTTTCTCTTTCTCCCCCACTTCCTTTATCAGGCAATAGCATGTCAGTGAATGCTCCCATCTCATGCAGTTTCTTGCAAGCAGCCAGACAAACAGCCTGCAAAACACCAAATTAACCATCAGTTCTTCATAAAGATGAGTAGAATCAATCAATTTCATAATAAATGATGGCATGCCTGTTGTGCCAAACGCATAGAACTGCATATAGGACCCTCAAGATTTTCAAATGGTGCATTACACGGCAGCTGAAGCTTGCAAGAATACTCTGTAGGACCTCCTGATTTTTCATGCTTCTCCATAATAAACTCTGGTCGAAGAATTGAATATCTGAACAAAGGATAGAAGACATCCAAATCATAATTTGAGGCTTAAAAAAGGCTGGAATAGCAAATCACCAAACTCAAGCATAAATGCAATACCTGTCACTTGGTAGCTGAGAGCAGTAGAAGTGGATAAGACCTACAGCAGAATTTAAGCTCACAACTGCACCAGTTGACTTCACCTGGTACACTGTTCCAGGCCGGGTGTCAACAGAAATCAATCTAGAACTGTCCTTCAGATGACTAAGGTCTGTTCTCTCTATTGCTTCTTTGCGCAAAGTCTCCTCACTGTTCCTGGCATTCCTTAGGAATGCTTCATGAGACAAATTCCCCCTATTTACAGGACAGATCACAAGGATGGGGACAGAGAAGGTGGAAAGAGTTCAGTTATCCAGCATTCACAAAAATATAAAACACCATGTACAATAGGGAAAATTAGGAACATGATACTGGTTAATATCAGATCCAAGAAAAAATCACAGGTTTTTCAGTATGCTTATCTGAGAAGGAAAAATTAAATCACACTGACTAAATCAAAAAACAAGTTCACATTTTATAGGCAGTATAACAAAACCAATTTAGCCCAAGAGCCTTGGCTCATGTGGCACCAAGTTTCTCAGGAGACTACTTGAACCCATGTTCAAAATCCTACCCAATTTAACTCAACTTTAGCGTACCTTCTTCACCACACAGCATTTTGATCTCCAATGTCAAAAAAATAATGACCTTAAGAATATCAATAATAATATTTATTTATAAAAGAAGAATTATTTGACACAGAATGAACCACAAAAGGAGAAAGGAGGACAAAGTATCTGTCTTAACCAAAGAACAAAATTAAAAAACAACCAAGAAAAATAAGAAAATCAATGAGTAAACCCTCATTCTAATCCATGAAATTCTAAAAGCTTCACACTTTAGTCTCTAGTTCTATAGAATCCTAACTTAAATCCTTGATTTTGCAAAAAGTCGTTAATTTTAGTTCATTCTATACTTCATTTTCGTTGTTTTGCACAAAAAATGACCAAAGTAACTGTCATTCTGCAAAGTCCAGGACTAAAGTGAATATTTTGTAAAGTGAGGGACTTAAGACATCAATGCTTTACAATTTCACGGACTAAAATGAGGGTTTATTCAAAATCAATGGTTGGAGGAGGAAAAATAATAATTTTAAAAAGCACCAAAGAAAGAATAAACATCTTTTTTAGTTGCAGTGTTGAACGGGAAAGTAAACCCTTCATCACTCAAACCATCAGTAAAATAACAAGTCATGCAAGGGAGGAGAAAATCCAGAGGACAAACATAATAAATTCACTCCAAATCTCTTAGAATTGCTAAATCTCTAGAAAAATATACTTGAACAGCTGAACAACACCAGAAATAAGAAACAACACAGGTAACATGGTCAAATCCATGTACCTCTCAACCATCAAGATGTAATCAGATCCCGGCTTTCTAGCACGGCCCCTAGATTGAATGTATGCCAGAACAGTCTTTGCAAGGTCAAAGCGAATAACAACATTGCATTGCCGGATATCAAGTCCTTCTTCAGCAACACTAGTGGCAACTAACAATGTGACCTACAAATGAGTGCATTAGTGAGATTGTGAGAATAGACAGGATTACACCTACAAATGAGTACATTAGCAAGGTACAAATCTTACCCGCCCATCACGAAACTTGGCAATTGTATCCTGCATTTGGTAGGTCCGCATTTCCTGACTGTTATTGTGACCAATCAAGCTTGCACACTTCACAAAACTAAGAGATGGAAGCTCTGCAAAGACCTGCCAATATTGACACACAATGGGCCAATAGGATCTTGATTTATGCAACTGAATCAACCAAAAGGAACTATTAAAGTAATATGTCTATATAACCACCTTGGGCAGAACTAATGCAGACACAACACGCTCAACAAAGATGATTGCACGGAAATCTTCTGTATGCTGATACTTGAGAAGTATTTTGATTAGTGCCTGCACCTTCGGGGTCACCTTGCCATCAGCCACAGCTGCTCCTATAATGACATCCACATGCTCTCCGCCAGAGACAACTAAACAAAAATGAGTCAGCTTAAATGAAAGATCAAACTACATTCCACATCTGTCATGGGTATTTAATATTTAAATTTAAATATCTTTACAAAGCATTAATTAGATATATGGTGAATTATGAATGCTCTCTCACATGTAAAATATTTTGTTAAAATTCTTAGTCCAATTTCTTATATTCACTAAGTTACCAAATTAAAATAATAATAATAATAATAATAATAATACAGCATTACAGCTTATAAGGATAGTTTACAAATTTAAACTATGAACTAATCAGCAGCCATTACTAAGTTTCAATTCAACAATCAGGCTCACCGTGACTGTCTGGAAGCTCTCCTTCTTCCATCTCTTCATGTTCAGACACACTTTGAGCTGCACCATTCTCTGAGTCATCCGTGCCAGCATTTTTGTCAGAAACTGCACCCTCTGACAGTTGGCATTTCAGAAGAGAGACAACTTTACTTAGATAAGATTCCTGAAACTTGACATCAAGTTGGTAGTTTGCCCTTTCGTCATTTTGCAAAGCTGCTAAAAAGGATTGTGCAACCTGTAAAAAGAAAGAATTTATAAAGAAGTCCATGAAACTCAAGATTCCTCATTCCCAAAGAAATAGTATGCACCTTATATGCACACCATTGTCCCAGTTCACCAAGTGCATAATTAACAGCTCTCAACTTCTGAATTAGGTTTGCAGCTCCATCGCTTTCTGTTCTTTCAGAAACGCCATATACTTGGCGCAGCTCTTCCTTAGCTCCAGCATCTCTAGCTCCCATAAACTGCCATTTGCTTCTTCTTGAACTAGATTTTGCAGCTTCTTCAACCTCTACCTCCATCTGCTTTATCTGCTCATGCAAATAACATAAACTGGCAGCTTTATCATACTCCACCACAACTTCAGAGGGCATTGGCACATGTTTCTCCAGCTCCTTACGATCTTTAATTGTGCAAACTATAGAATCTAGTTTACTTTCAAGATTACGAATTTTTATTGCACAGTCTACTTGGCTGGAGACACCTGAATATACCATAAGCATAAGCAATGTTGACTTGAAAAAGAATGCAATGAAAATGTCGCATATAAATAGAAAATTGACCATCAGTTTCAAACCTAAAGCATATTGTTAGAATATAGGAAAATATCTTATCATATTTTAGATTATCTTCTAAGTTTAGTTTCCCTATCTCCTCATTATCTCTTACAATTAGTTACCAAATTCCTTACCATATCATGTTTTGTTTCTTTAATTAGTTAGGAATATGATTAGTATACATAAGATTAGGGCTTGTTTGGATGAACTTCTCCAAAAGCATTTATAGAAGAAGAAAATACAAAGGAAAAATAAAATAAGCTTCTTCATAAGTTGAAGTTAACTTATATGTAAGTTAAAAATGAGTTATTGGTGAAGTTAATATGAGAAAATTTCTACAAATTAACTTATGGAGAGGCTAATTTCATATTTTCTTCCTATTTTCTTCTCCAATAGTATTTTTGGATAAATTTACCCAAACAAACCCTTATATTGTAGCTTTTATGAACACATCAAACACATGGATGCATTGCAATATATCTCGGTGAAATATCAAATTAGTGCTTCATTATCTTTTCTCTCTCTTTCTTCCACTTACACCTAAAATCCCATAATTTCAACACAAATTGTAGCTTGAAAAAATTAGTAACAAAGCACAGGATCCCAAGTTCAGTTGAGAACTTGAATAACTACCCTTCAAGTTAACAGGAGAAGCAGTCATTCCAAATACAGATGGCCTCTTCTCTTTGGGTGTTGTATGGTAGAACTCAGACATCACCAATGAATATGGGTGTTTCTTCACAGCATGGTGGCACTCATCCAGAATCAATAGATTGATTGCTTCCATTTTTATTATGCTATGCCTCAAAATGTTCAAAAGAATTTGAGCGGTCATGACTAAAACCTACAGCAAGAATAAATAACCAATTGAGTAATTAGTATAAACACATACCTGGCCTAGGAAGAACACTAGCAATATGAATAGGGCAGGCGAGGGGGAAAGGGAACTTATGAATCTTACAGAAAAACAATTTGCCTACAACTTGTATGCAATAATGAGAATAAAAATTGCAGAAACAAAGAGCAATAAAACTACTTTAAAGTAACAAAACGATGTCTTTTATATATGATTTATGATTTACTGGCAATTTGTCATGCACTGCTTTTTAATATTTATATATATATACACACACACACATATACATACACACACACACACACACACACAGAAACAGCAAGAGCTTCAAAAAGCTAGACACTAATTAAAAATTCCTGGGTTTTAAGATAAGCTGCATCTTGGAGACATTGAAGGGACGAAACCCACATGTTGGCATCAGAGTATTCACATAGATCATAGATAATGCAATTCAGTTGAAGATAAAAATAAGAGAAAACTGATTTTGAGTGAATATTCTAGAGTGCTGAAAACACAGTTAAATGATATATACACACAAGGGATAATAATCACAAAGTATATTTCACAAAATGGCAACTTAACTATCTCAATTTCCCAAGATAAAATGAACCATAAAAGCATTGTGACCAATTACCAAGACCATCGCCACATCCCCATCCTTTTCATCCATGATCAGATTTTGTAAGAAAGGCAGCAGAATCAACTTGAGAGCACATTTGGGTGATTCTTCATTAATGGGACTCAGAATTAACAATCAATTGACTCTACCACAGCAGG